GGATAACCACACTGCTCCAGGGCCTGTCGTGTGTGTGATTTCTCTTTCTGCCTGGCTCCTGGGTTTGTAGGGACACTGTCTGCTCTGTGGTACAGAGAGATTAATGGCGGTATTTAGTCGATAACGATTAATTTGATGATTAATCCCCTGGACACCCTTATGTCCTGGTCACAGGACCAATTTAGTGGGAAAGATTTGCTCTTCATAAAAATCTGTTCCAAATTGTGTCAAAATTACAGACTTCAGGCTGTACATCAAATTATAAATTGTGTTAATAAATAAATTACAGAACTTTTTTTTTAATGTTCGTCATATTCGAAGCGGAGAGGAGCACCGAGTGGATTGACTGGAGAAATCTCCCCTGGTGGCATTAATCCTATTAATCGTCAAGTGCCAAAAATTAATCAATTAATGTTCTTCTGACGATTAATTACACACGATACGATTATGCCCAACCCTATCTGTAAGACTTGAAAAAATCTGTGAGATTGCTCTATACGTCTATACCTGCAAAATGACGTAAAATACTTATAACTTACAGATAATCTGTACAAGTTGACATGTATGTTATTTATTTGCTTTCTGGGAAAGAAAATAAATCTAAGTTTACCATAGTGCCTTACACTGTCAAACTTGTTTTATGGGTTCAAATGGGGTGGGTGGGAGGGTGGTCTTCAACTCGCCCAGGGAACCAGAAAGGTTGGAGCCAGCACTGTTGAAACACCAGCTGATTGAAAACAAACCAGTATCTGTGGACTGGGCTCAGATCTGAACCAAAGATCACTTCTGTTTTTTACCTTCAGCTGTATTTTCTGTGTGAAACTTAATGACTTCCTGTTARTGAGCTGGACGGGTTGAAGACTTATTGGATCAAGCAGAGAAACTGGAAGTTACAGACTTGATCTCAGTCAGAACCAGCCGCTGGTTCCGGGGGACAGCCGGGATGTAAACAGCAGCCCTGCCCGGCTCTGCCTGCTCTAATCAGGACCACCTGTGCCGCGCGCAGCGCAGCCACGGTTCGGTTCTAACAGCCGGTTCTGTGGCACCAAGTTCAGTTCCGGGCTGCCAACTTCCCTCCTGCAGCTCCTGCAGCGGCAGGCTAAAGGAGACGTGTTGAAGGAGAGCGACCTGGAGGGTCCTCCGCCTCCCAGGAAACACCCCCACCCCCCACCCTCCGGGGGGTCTCCTAACACCGCCACACCTCCCCCAGCACTCCCAGCAGCGCTCCGCTCCACTCACCAGCAGCACCAGCGACAACATTTTCTCTCCTCTCATCCTTCTCCTGTAGCGGATCCAGGAGGCCATGATGCCGTGCCACGTCTGGATACGCAGGCGCGTTCCACAGGAATGTTGGGCTCGGCGCAGTGCACCCTGGGAAATGTAGTTGAGTTGAAGCTTGGTGGGAATATGAGCTCTAACACCCACCTGCTGTCACTAAAACAGCCTCAGTTCAGATCAGCAGTGACTGTCAGCTCTAAAGACTCAGTTTTATTACAATGTTGTGGTTTTTATATGAAACATGTCCTCAAACTGGAAAATAATCAGTAAACTGCCTTTTCATTAAATGGCCCATTAACTCTTCATCAATTACTAAGTAAAGTAAAGTAAAGTAAAGTAAAGTAAAGTAAAGTAAAGTAAAGTAAAGTTTTATTTATACAGAACCTTTCATAGAAATAGATTGACAAGGTGCTGTACAATCAGAGGCAAATCTAAAAGATATACAATCAGAACAGGATTTACAAAAATTTGGAACAAAAAAAGTATAAAAGCTGTACAACCATCAAAGTATCAAGACTGTGTAGTCTGAAAAATAAAACAAGTAAATAATATCTAGACAAAAATGTAGAGGGCAGAGTAAAACATGAACATATTAAGATGAAGGATTTTAAATCAGAAGTTAATCTGGAGGCAGGTCTCTGAATGGGTCGGTTGTGGAGTAACTGGTACATTTTAGAAAAATTAGACTGGTTTAGGAGATTTGGTTTGATGATATTCTTCTAACATCAGATTAGTTTTTATTTATTAGATTACTGAAGCATACAAAATGTCAATAAATAAAAAATGAGATGTGCTACGATTGTTCTGTTTATTCCTCACCCTTTATTTTTAACCATTCAGCTGTGCAATGGTCCTCTTTAGTTTTAATCTGTGCACTTGGAGAAAGTCTGCCATACGCTCAAGTAGCAAAGCCTCATGGGACATATCATAAATTGATAAAATAAGAGTTTTTGTCGCCTTATAAAGTGTGCAAATCTACATGTGGGGTTAAATCTGATCTAAATATTTCTTGTTGTCGTTTCATGTTTCATGTTTAATCCTAATAAATCAAAGATAAAGTCAGCAGCATGACTGAAAACTACCTTCACTACAGCCCTTTTATAT